CAATGAATTTCGTTCTTAAAAGGATAATTTTCTAGTAAGGTCATATGAACCATATTCATATTATTCATGTTAATATTCATTTATATTATGAATATTCCGTGGAAGCTCCCATCAAAGAAATTTTCTTTAATATCAAGGTTTAATTTCATAATATCAATGAACTTAGTTCTTGTAACCGATGCACTATTCAACATAGATTCATGTAGATGACTATTCATAACTTGATGAAGCTTCATTCTTTATTTTAATGATAGCTGTTCATGAAATCATAATACTTACAGTTTTCTGTACCTGGGATTAATGAAAATTTCACTGAATCAATGAAAATGTAATTTATGAAAGCAGTTCATTGATATTATGATCAAGATTTTTTTGAGTGTCGGTAATATATTGTTCAATAGTTTCCCCTTCTTTCTGCTTGCAAGTGAGAAATTTATGTCGTTGGTACGTTAAATTATGTCTAGGATTGAAGTATTCATCGAATTTTTTGAGAAGTGGCTTTAATTTGTTTTTATCATTTTCAGGTATCGTAAAAGTATTAAAAATACGAATACCTTCATCTCCAATAAGCGTTAATAGTTGTGCACACTGCGTTGTTTCTTCTTTTTTACAGATTTCGGTTGCCAAAAGGTAAGTTTCGAATCTCTGCCTCCAAAATTTCCAGTTTTCCGCCAGATTTCCGGAAAATATCATTGGTGGAACGCCACGGAAGTCCATTTTTCTTGATTTTCCTAGTTAATTTTCGTCGATGTGTTGCAAATAAATCGGATGATCCAGGATTTCTTTTGCGAGGTTTATTCTAACCTAAAACTGCGCCATGTGTCGTGTGTAGAGCGGATGGGGAAAATGGGGCTGTGAACGGGGAGTTGTTAATAAGACGAGAGCTAAATGTTGACTGCTTTATTTTATGAATTGTCATGTACAAATCAAATGCAATGTCAAGCACTAGGCATTGTTGCCAACTTAATACTATAATTTAGAGCGTGTAGTGCAAGTGGAGTAGAACACGCTACACAAGTAACGTAGCTTTAGGATGCGTACTGAGCCAAGGACCAATCGAAAAAGATTTGCCTATAGCGTTTGCCTCACGCACTCTTAACGACTCGGAACAGAACTATTCAACTATAGAAAAAGAGTGACTTTGCTTGGTTTGGGCAACAAAATATTTCCGCCCATATTTATTTGGTAGGAAATTCAATATAATAACTGATCACAAGCCCTTACAATGGCTTTTCACATATAAAGACCCTTCTTCAAAATTAGTTAGGTGGCGAATTAAACTCGAAGAATTTGACTACCAAATAATTTACAAAAAAGGTAAATTAAACACAAACGCCGACGCGTTATCGCGAATCGAATTACATATTAAAGAAACAAACACCTTATTAACGAAACCGACATAAATTTAAATGAAAAATCCGGAGATTCAACTCGTAATATAAACGATGACAACATGGATCAAATATCCTTACAAGTGCAAGCGAACACTGAACCCGATATCCAAGTCGATGATGATGCAACAGTTCACTCAAACCAAGAACAAGATTTAATAGTAGGAATGTCAATCCTAGAAACACCCATAAATTATGGTGCGAACCAAATATTTATTCGTGAAGTGTTACATTCACCAGCCAAAACAAAAATATGCATTTTATTTGAGAAAAAACGTAGAATTACCGTCCAAATCTCCACAAACAATTTCGAACCAGATATTATGGACTTTATAAAAACTTACATTGTCCCTAAAAAACAATATCGCCTCTATTTTGAGACACCCGATACGTACGAGCGATTCTGCGAAATTTTACGGAAAAATTTTAAATGGCCCTCTATCAATTTTAAACGCTGCCTCACAAAGTTACTGGACGTCACCGATAAGGAAGAAATTCCCGAAATCATAAAGAACTATCATGAAAGTAAAACAAACCATAGAGGCATTGAAGAAACCGAACAAAAAATTAAAACCAAATATTATTGGCCTAATTTAAAGAATTCAATTCAGACTTATATAAATTGATTGCGAAATCTGCCAAGTCAGTAAATACGAACGCAACCCAGTCAAAATAAAAATGAATATAACCCCAACTGCAACACGACCATTTGAAATAATTCATTTAGACACATATACATTAGAACACACAAAATTCTTGACTATTATTGACAGTTTCCAGAGCTGGGCAGGGCTTGAGTGCTTTGTGCTTGCGAAAGTGCTTGAAGCACTTTGAGGACTTGAAAGCCCTGTGCTTCAAGCCCTTTTATAGATTTGTAATTGGGGCTTGCAAAGTCAATTACTTTAGAAAAGTGCTTGGTAATTTGTAATTGAAAAAAGTAATTCAAGCCCTTTCAATGAGCTTCAATTACTTTTAGAGGGCTTGAAGCACTTTTGGGAGCTTGAAGCCCTTTGAAAGGGCTTGAAGCACTTTAAGAGGGCTTGAAGCACTTTTGGGAGCTTGAAGCACTTTGAAAGGGCTTGAAGCACTTTGAAAGGAATTTGAATTGACCATCATTCAACCTATCCCCCACTTAAAAATTTTTGATCATATTTTGTCCTTTAATTTTTTTTTCTATTATTTGAACTTGAACCGTCTTATGTCTTTTCTCTCTTAACAATGGAGGTTTTGGGTTTAAGCTTAGAATGGAATTAAAAAAAAATGAATGAACTTATTCAAATAAATAAATAATTAATTTATATTGGTATCCTATTTAACTTTTTCACTGGATTTTTTTCACTTTTCCCCATTGAACATTTTGAAAACCTTAAAATTGAATTACCATGTAGTACCCCAACTACCCCAAGTACCCCAGAACTACATCTCAAAAAAAACATACTACTGCTACTCTGTGAAATGTAAAGTTCGTCTCTACTATACCAATTCTGTGTGATGAGTGTACGCGGTAGCTTATGCCACTTTGAGAATTTTATTACAAATTCAAAGTGCTTTAGGCACATATAAAGAACTTCAAGCACATTTAAAGAGCTTGAAGCACATTTAAAGAGCCTGAAGCCCTTTTCAAAGCACCCCAAGCACTTTTGATGTGCTTCAAGCACTTTTCAAATCACTTTGGGAGCTTTGTGCTTGTCAAGCCCAAAGCACTTTGAGGGCTTTGTGCTTGTGAAGCACTTTTGAAAATAAAAAGGAATTTGTGCTTGAAATTGAAGCACTTTGATAGAGGGCTTAGGACTTAGGGCTTCAAGCCCTTTTACTGAGGGCTTTGCCCAGCTCTGACAGTTTCTCAAAATACGCTCAGGCGTACCACCTGAAATCCTTAGCAGCAACAGACATAGTCGATAATCTCCTAATTTATTTTTCGCACCACAAAATCCCTAAGCAAATTATTGTTGACAACGGGACCGAATTTAAAAATTCTGTGGTCACTGAACTTCTGCAATTACACAAAGTCCAAATTCATTTTTGCTCTCCGCATCACCCCCAGTCCAATGGAGTTGTAGAACGCCTACACTCGACTCTTGCTGAACACATTCGATTACTAAATAATCAAAACTTTGGCAATACTCCAATCAAAAACGTCATTTTGGTGCCATTCGATAGAGCACAAAATTCTGCATAATGACTATGACCTTATTTTTGTTTATGATTTCAAGGTAAGGCTCCACCAGAACAAAAATGTGGTGGGTGGTAATCACAAAGACACGTGTTGATCAATATCATTAAAACCGCTTGAAAATCAAAAAAAAATAGAAGATTCAAAAAATTAAGAATAAAGTTTTCTCTATCGATAGATATATAAATGTTTTTCGTATCTTTCAAAATAAAGCAACCAGTGGCGTATAAAAAAGTAGTGGAGTAAGAGGAATGATTAAAAATAAATATTTTTGGTTATATCCTTTGAACTAATTTATTTATTAGGAATGTGAAATCGGTTTTCCTCTAAAATTAACCAATTAGGTTTTACAGCCTGTCAAAGTTGCAAAAAGTCAATTTTCAACTGTCAATATTTCCAAAACAGTTGAACTTAGGTATAGTGTATATCACATGAAATCTGCTCAGAATTTTACGTAGAATCCAAATATGCAATTTAATACGGGGTGTTTCATTTAAAATAGTGATGTTGCCACTAGTTTAGAGTAGAAGCGGCAACACCGCATGGTCAAGAATATTTTTAAAGTGTAGATCATGGTCGTTTATCCCGGTTGCCAAATTTTCAAAATGATCCGCTTTTTAATTCTCCATAAACGTCTAATACGCCATCCACCGTGGGACACCCTGTATAGCTTTCTTTGGACGCACTAAGAGAGATGACAAATGCCATATACGACAACGGTCGGTGCCATTCCAGGTACGTGTAGTTTATAGTTCATTGGCTTTTACTCAAAAACCGAAGTATGAAACCCTCAAGTCACTAGGCTAATTAAACATAATTGAATTCCTATCCAATCTAAAGTGTGCTAAACTGTGCTGGATCAGGTTTTTTTCAAAATTTTCATATTCGATTATTTTTCGACAAAATAATCATATTGGGGAGCGGGGAGCCAATTTAATGTTCAGCCCCCCAAAATTTTGAAAATCAGATTAAACAAAATTGAATTCTTTTCCAATCTGAAGTGTATTTACTGAACTCTGCTTTCTGCTGCATTAGGTTTTCTCAAAAATACATACTTATTGTAACTTATTCGGTTATTTTCCGACAAAATCCTACTAGCTAACTTAACGCTCAGCTCTGAGAATTTACAAACTAGGATTTAGTTTGTCGTATTGCTTGACCTGATATTCTTGTATTTTTCAAGTAATGATTATTTCTTTTGTTACTCGTCGAGATTGAGAAGATTATTAAGTCATTTGTTTGAATCAGTCTCAGTCAGAACTTTGTCAGAGGTAAGACCATTGTTCAATATTTGATGCAAAACCAGCACCAGTGTCGCTCATCTTTATCTTTTCAAATTTCTCGATCCATGACAAAACTTATTGAAAGATGCAGTTTTTATCAGAAAGTCCAAAAATTTTACCCTTCAATCTTCCAAAAAAAAAAAAAACTAAAATTTACACAACATAGGTATATTTTTTTATATTGACATTCAATTACTTATATATTGTTTATACAAAACATAAAATACATTCCTATTCCTATACAGTAAAACACTTAATAAAAAAATCTTAAGTACAACATTAGGATTATTGTTTTAGAAATAAGATTTAATGTAGACTGTAGACTATTCAGAAAGAGTGTATATTTGTTCCATCAATTGCATAGGGAAAGTCATGAACTGTCATTATTAACAGAACACCCAAGAAAAGATATTAGAAACTTTAAGATCATATTTTTACCATTATTTTAATGATTGGAAAAATGTGTAAAAAAAAAAGAAATAAAAATTAAATTTATATCAAAAATAAGAATATAGAACACTGAGAAAAATACTTAAATCCTAGAAAAAAATACATTTACTGAGATTCTTATAAATCTCTTTATAAAAAAAAAATCAGTTCCCACAACAAAGAATTGGAAATTAAAATCCCTAAAAATAATTATTAATTTCTAAAGGATCTTACTTCATTCCAATTCCTTGTGACAAAAGCGTTCAAATCACATTTAAATAGGCAAAAGCCAGAGCTGGGCATAAATAATTTTAGTCAAAACAACATGATTATTATTAACTAGGGCCAAATTAGAATGTCTCAAAATTGATGAAATTTGGTCAGTGTTTTGATCAAACAGTCTATGAGATAAGCACAATACAAAGTAGGTACAACAAATTTCAACTTAAGGATCCTTAAATTATTTACGAACATTTGGACTGAATTAGGTCATAATTTTGGGTGGATAGAGGGTAACAATTATTAATGGAAGACTATTAAATTTCAGTATGAAATTTAAAAAAAAGTATTGATGGTGGTCAATAGAATTACTGTTTTCATCTGAGAAAATACATACAGTCTATGACAAGAACATTTAATTTACAGAATGTTATGGTATGGTAATAGTCAGATTATCAAATGACTTCAAGAGTAGTTTTTCCAGCTCTAGCGACTACTAGAAAATTATTGGCATTAAAAAAATCACCAGTCACCCTGTATCATTATCCAAAATACAAAATAACTTCATCTACAATAAGACATCAGCTTCTTTTGGCTCACCATCGCTATCAGACTGCTCAGTTACAATAATAATAGGCATATTTAGTATGATTTTTCTTGGTTCATTTTGAATTTGAGCCGCCTTCACTTGCCCATCCAATTCAATGTAACTTTCATTATTTTCGAAATCGGCGTCGCAATTGAACAAGTGAATAAACTTACTGAAGTCCTCCATCAAGTTGAATCTGAGGCAATTTTTCAAGAATGGTGGAATTTCTTTGGTGGAATATGGAAATGAGATTATAAAGATTTCCATCTTCGAGACGGCCTTGTTAGCTTCTATGACTAGAAATTTGTGCGTCGTGGCATCAGGTTCGAAAATGTGCATACCGCAAATATAAAGTACATGAGATGCTTCATTGATGTTGGTTACTAGTTGTACTTTTGTCAAACTTTTTAGGGTTTTTTCTAGTGACTTAATTATTTGATAGTGCTTTTCAGGCGTTTGATTGTATACTAGAAAGATTGTGTCTTTTTGCTCTTGGGTTTCAACTGAAAAGAAAATTATGTATTATTGAAATAATGCTAGGGGTGGTTAACTCCTTTAAATATGTACAAAGATTTTAAATCTTTATTGATTTTGTAGGATTTTGAGAATTTTGAAAATCTTCATATTATGATATTACAGGATTTTGAAAGATTTTAGGTGATTTTAAAGCATTTTAAGGTTGTTAGAAGAGTTTTTAGAGATCCGGAGAGATTTTACACGATTTTAAAAGATTTTAGATTTATGAGATTTTATGTGATTTTGGATCATTTTAGGGAATTTAAAAAGAGTTTTTATGGCGTTTTTACCAACTAATTTAGGGGAGCCTTAGTAATAAGTATTTTTTAAACTGACATATTTTTTCATAGAAGACTGTCATTTTAAGGAATACTTATTGTTGAAGTTAAATATTTAGTGGAAACGGCCATTAGAGATCCTAAATGATTTTTAGAAATTTTAACTGACTTTTGAGAATTCCAGATTATTGGAAATTTTGAAGGTTTTTGTTTTTAGGAATACATATTAATGATTTTTTAAGATTTTGCTAGATTTTTTTTTGTTCTTATAAAATTTTGGGTGATTTTGTAAAATTTTATGCGATTTCAAGTGATTTTTAAGGGATTTTGTGAGGTTTTGTTAAATTTTTAAAGATTTTCAGGGATTTTAAATATATCTTACAAGTTTTTCTGGACTTGTACACAGATTTTGACCAATCAACCGCTACGAGGTTTAGTTACCTCTATAAAATAATAAACACATATTTTAAATTTTAATTGATTTTGTAGGATTTTGGAAATTTTGAAAATCTTTACACGATTTTGCAGAAGTTTAGAAGACTTTAGATTTTCAAAATTTTAGGTGATTCTGGAGCATTTTAGGGGTTTTTCAAAAGTTTTTAGAGATTCTAAATTCAAATGACAAATTTGAATGGAAAAACGGAAATTCCTAGACATTTTACTATGGGATTTCATAATACTTTTCCGAATTTCATCATATGATCCTATGGAATTCCACCATAAAATTCAATGGAATTCTTGGACAAAAATTCCTCGGAATTACACTACCTATGAGATTTCATGAAATTCTTCGGCATTCCACTAAAATTTCAAGTTATTCCATGGGAATTCTGCAAAATTTTTTGTTAATTCCATAGAAATTCTTTAGAATTTCACTAGAAGATTTTATAAAATTCCTCGAAATTCCATTCAAATGACGAAATTCGAATAGAAAAACAGAAAGTCTTAGAAATTTTTAGATCTCATAATACTTTTCCGAAGTCAACGGAAATTACTCGGAATTCAATTCTTCGGAATTCCGCCGAAATTTCTCGTGGTTCCATGGAAATTCTGTTTAATTCCAAGATAATTCTTTGAATTTCATATAATTTCACTGGAATTCCACAATAAAATTTCAAGGAATTCCATGTATGTAATTCGACGAGAATTCCTTGAAAATTTACTAGACATTTCATCAAAATTTTATGTAAGTCGACACAAAGTGAAATTGTATACAGGGTGTATATTTTAAGTGATACCACACTATTGCTATATCCGAAACGGTAAGAGCTACAGGGTCGGTTAAATTAGAAAAAAGTTGCCTTGTTTGATGCCCATTCAAGACTCGTTTACAGTGTTGCCAAATTTCTTTTAGTTTATGAAATACTTTTCTAAGAAACGTCCAAAAATATTTCATCATTTATTTAGAAAACTATTGATTTTTGAGACACAATTTAAATTTGAAAGTTTTATAATCTTTTCCGCTCTACAACATGACATCTTTAAATTTAAAATCCGACGTTTCGTGATCGAGATACCATCATCAACTTCATTTTTTTAAATACGGACCTGGATTTTTTATGTCATTTTTAGGAAGCGCCCTTAATTCTCTTTCCAAAAAATCCAGGTCCGCATTTAAAAAAATGAAGTTGTTGATGGATCTCGATCACGAAACGTCGGATTTAAAATTTGAAGATGCCATGTTGTAGAGCGAAAAAAATTATAAGACTTTCAAATTTAAATTGTGTCCCGAATATCAATGGTTTTCAAAATAATTGACGAAATAATTTTAGGCCTTTTTTATAAATCCCTGTCCTGTATTTCATAAACTAAAAGGACTTTGGCAACACTGTAAACAAGTATTGAATGAGCATCAGAAAAGGCAACTTTTTTCTAATTTAACCGACCTTGTAGCTCTTGTTATGGTCTGGAATTCGTATGGTTGCACTAATCACTTTGCTTGTATTTTCCCTCATGACTATTGAGTGAATCATTTTGCTTGTATTTTTCCTTCTTGACTGATGGGTGAATTTTTCGTTATTTCAATTCGTATGGTACCTTGGTATGGTACGCGGGCGACCTTCACTCAAATTTCGCGCACGACCTAGAGGTACAATTGCGCCGTCGTAGGGTATCAATTACTAATGCTAGCTCTGTCAGATCTTCAAGTAGAAATATTGATCTTGGGTGCGACGTATGTGCAGGATGATTCCGTTTTCTTGGTAATTTCAGGATGACCAATGGATTTGGTTCGGGTTCGAACTTTTCTATGTTTTTTATGAATATTCATAGGTATAATTTTTGAATTTGCCGGTTCCTGAGAGATTGGCATTCCTGATGGGCCATGTACAATTTTGGTAAAAAGGAGGAAATGACGAGCTGGCTGGATCGTGAAGGGACAGAAAGGGATAAGGCGTTGTGCGAGTGAATTAATTTTTGTGTCCTTTTTGGAAATTGCCGTTGAACGGGATTTAATTTGCACAATTTGCAGTTACAAATGTCGGGTTAGTTTCGAGATTTAGTTTGCCGATATTTTGACCTTCTTGGGATTTTGCTGAAGCCTTATTCCGGTTCAATATCCATCGAACCACATTCATAGTGAAACAATACTGTGCATCCATATTGGATTTTAGATGCCCTCATTGAATTAGGAGGGTATTTGTTTTCTCTGGGTGGAACCATTTCCTTTGCTTGCCAACAAGAATTTCCACATTTTCGTCCTTTCTGGTGACCTTTGGACTGGTTTGGCTGATGGTATCCATTTGAGAAATAATTTGAAGCGCTGGACGTTTGACGTTTGGGAATTGATTAACTTGAAGAATTAATTAGCCTTCACCAGCTAAGTACTTTTTATTATTATTATTACGAACTTTGGATTCTCACCTCGCGGGATTTATACTGATTTTTGATTTAACTGTGATTATTTAATTACCTACCGGATTGGACTTTGAATATTTAATTATTGAATTTAATTTGATTATGTGATACTGAATTTGACTTTGAATTATTAGACCGGATTTACCTTTGATTATTTGATTACTGAATTTAACTTTGATTAAGTAATTAGTGAATTTAATTTGATTATGAAATACTGGATTTGACTTTGAATTATTGATAGACCGAATTTTTAACTTTGATTAATGGATAACTGAGGTTAACTTTGATTAGTTAATTACTGAATTTAATTTAATTATTTAATACGGAATTTGACTTTTGATTATTGATAAACCGGATTTAACTTTAATTTTGATTATTTAATAACTGAATTTGACTTTGATTATTTAACACTGAATTTGACTTTTGATTATTGATAAACCGGATTCAACTTGGATTATTTATAAATCCGGGTTTTAACTTTGCTTTGATTATTTAATTACTGAACTTAACGTTGAGTATTTAATTACTGAATTTGTCTTTGATTAGTCAATTACCAGATTTGAAGTTTTATTATTTAAGCCTATTGATATTCGAATAATTGTGCGGCTCGTATGATCATACAGGCTTTAATGAACTCTTGTTAATAGTTAGAAGCAAGATACTTAAATATTGAATAGAGTGACAAAGTGTATAGGTGACTGATAACATCAGTCCTTGTGACAAATATATAACCTGAAAGTGAATTTAAATTGAGTTCTTATTTTATTGTTGATTTTTCCGGATTTTTGGTTGACTTTAGAACAGTGAGAGAACGCCTTCAGCATTGACTAAACTAAAATACGGTGGCGCCCTATAGGTAACCGACTTTGACAAGGAAGCGATCCAGGGAAACAATAGTTTTGTTTGAGAACCTACCCCTGGGTTATTTGGAGCAACTGGGCACAACAACGGCTTCGGCCTATTTAGGTGAATCTTTTAACCCTTCAATCGCATGGCAAAAAAAAAAAGGGGGGGATAACACTCTCACCGTTTCGGATATAGCCATAGTGGTATCACTTAAAATATACACCCTGTATAATTTGATGGAAATTCTGCGAATACTTAATTTTTTGTTTTTTCGAAATCCACATTTCCTGTAATTTCTTAGAAATTCCTCGGAATTTCACTAAAATTTTATGAGGATTTTTTGAAATTTCACTAAAATTCCCCGTTATTAGTTGAAAATTTCTCAAAATCCCAATAAAACTTCTTTTTTTTTTTCAAAATTTCATTTATCATAAGAATTTTTCGTAATTTCACTGAAATTCTCTTTCGATAGTCAGGAATTTCTGGGAATATTAATGAAACTTCAAGTAGTTTCTTGAAAATTCACCGATATTCCTCCGAAATATATTGAAATTTCATATCATTACATGGGAATTTTTCCAAATTTTACCGAAATTCCAAGTCTTTAGCTTCAAAACTTAGTAATTCGATGGGAATTTTTCGGAATTTCAATTTCACTAAAATATCATAATATATAACTAGAAATTTCTTGGAAGAATAATTAAACTTCATGTAATTACATTAGGATTTTTCGAAATTTCACTGGAATTCCTTATGTTATGAAACAATAAGAATTGTTCAAAATTCCCTTTAAATTTTATGTAATTCCCTGACAATTTCTTGGAATTCCAAGGACGAAAATTCCTCGGAAATTATGTAATTTTTTGAAACTTTTTTAAAATTCTTTATGTAATTTAATGAGCACTAAAATTTCATGTTGGGAATTTTGGTGTAATTCAATGTAATTGTTTAGAATTCCTCCATGCAACTCATTCAGGATTTCATATAATTCGATCGAAATTCCACTG